CTAGGAAAATAAACTTTCTTCTTTATGTACCTACCTCCATTACTCTTTTATTTCGCCTCAAAACTGTTCAAATCAGTTCTGCCCCACCCTGTATTAGCTAGCTAACACATTTAAATTGTATATTGTAATTAATATATAACAAATAGTCAAATTGTTAAAGACTACTTATAGCCTTATAAGAATTAGCTAAGCTGCTAGCTATGTACAATGTATTGCACACTTGATGCCTCTGTACCAAAAACATTCACTTTATTGGAACCTAATACACACTAAAGGCAACAAGTTTATATACCAATTTGTCATTCATAGTACATTTAGTCTAAACCATGAATAACAATACCTCAATATAAATTAAAGACTGCCACTCAATATATTTAAATATATGGAAAAATCAAATAAATCAAATAAATAAAAAAAATATTTTCGTTTGAGGAATGAAAACAATCTAATTAGAGCTCGGAGTTTTAGGCTGTTTGCTTTTAACATGTTGAAAGCTCTATTTGATCTTTGGATTGTTTCTTCCTTGAATTTAATCGTATCAGTAAAGAAAAAGGAAGAAAGCTCTGTGGATATGATTTCCGCCTTCGCCAGCTTTCCTTTCGTTGACCTTGAGCGGCGCCGCGGTGTAGGCGCGGCCTGCATGCTCTCTCAATAGCAGCACTGTCCGCGTAATAAAGTTTGGGGAGGAGGTGGCCTCAGCACAGCCTAAAACTCCGAGCTCTAATTAGATTGTTTTCGTTCCTCAAACAAAAATAATTAGAGCAAACTCCGTTTTAGGCTGTCTGCTTTTCTACCAAAGTCGCCCTTTAGGGTCTGGGGGAGGAAACTTTCAGACTCCCATGAGAGGTAAAAGAAGCAATCGAGATATTTAAACCAAGGTTTACTTAATTAGTGGGGCAATGCAAATGTTAGATACAAAAGTGTTGGCACTAATTAATGACCGTTCTCCCTGCCACGAACTGTATTTTGGGGACCGATAACGTCCTCTGATAGCAACGGATGAATAAGTTGGGGGTGCTCCAGAAGCCGTTGCGCATGATTTCCTCCATGGATACGTTGCGCATCCAGGCGATGGAGTGGCTGGCCCGGTGGATGTCGTGGCCCGATGGATTTCCTGGCGAGTCGCCGAAGGAACGAAGGGCGTGAGCCAGCCAAAGGAGCATCTCCCGGCGTTGAGTGGCTTATGAGACTTGGGCTCCAGGAAGACGTGGTTCCTGTGTTCCCATGAGGTCGTTCGCTTGAGGTATTCCTTCAAGTGGTAAGCAGGGCATAACGCATGTTTCCCACCCTATGTAGGGAAAGAGATGGGTGGTGGACGCCTGTCAACTGACTGGTTTTTGTAAATGAGGCCCGGTAGGACTGCGATCGATACGTCGGTGGGTGAGATGGAGCACCCTGATCTAGAAGCATTAGCTAGCTCTGATGCTCAGTTTCCTGATGCCAGAGCTGTTAAGAAGAGACATTTAGTCAGAAGGTCCTCTGTTGTTATGCGCGGGAGGCGGAAGCGTCTAGATTCGAACTGTTTGAAGATAGCATCGAGGGACCAGTCGATGTTTGGTTTGGGAGCGGGAGGATCAGAGAGGAACTGCGATTTCGAGAGTTCTTGGAATTCTTCAGCGGTGGTGTTTACTCCGAAGGCCAGGTACAGTGGTTTTCTGAGCGCCGCCTTGACATTACGTATCGTCATATCCTTCAGGTGCTTCCCCTCATGGAGGAAGGTGAGAAATCGTAGAACTGTATCGTGGGTGATGTCGGTTGTTTCTGCAGGGAGCCACTCTTGGAACGCTTCCACTGAGATTGGTATTGGTGCATGATCGAAGTACAGTAAGGTTAGAAACTCCACGCGATCCATTTCCCGCACTCTTCCGATGAGACCAAGCTGACGGCTGTCTTCTGGTGGAGGCGAGTTTGGAAAAGAATCTGTTTCTGTGCTCTTGAGGAGGACTGGGTACCATCCGGCTGGTGGTCTGTGTGGCGATAGAATGACCCCGTGATGTGTGTAGTCCTGCAGTTTGGGTAGCAACTGCGGTATGAAGTTTGGTGGGGGGAAGATGTACACCCCCTGCCACTGATTCCAGTCGACTGCTAGGACATCCGCTGCCACTGCCCCCAGTTACTCGAAGGCGGACACGTACAGGGATAGTTTGTTGTAGTGTGGACTGGTCATGAGGTCGACCTGTAGTGGTCCGTGCCAGTCCGTGAAAGGGAATCTTAGTTTTGGTGGTTTTGTGTCCTGCCTCCACTTCCAGTGCACGCCTCTGCGGACGATATTCAAGGTCTTCTTGGGGGCTTGTAACCATTGGTCCGAGAAGTGCTTGAGACGTGCCCCCGGTAAGGGGTCAATTGTTGGGCGGCTTGCCGGGGTGTGTTAGTGTGTAGAGGCGGATGGAGCGGGCTTGGCCACGTTAGTGTCGCCGGAGGATTTAGGCTGTTGTCCCTGAAGGGGGGACGGTTGCCTAGGCTGCCTCTGCTGCTTCTGCTGTTGGAGGGGTTGCCTCCGCGGCCTGGCGGGAAAACTGAGTCTGAATGACCGCGGGCGACACTGCACATAGGCAGTCTATTCAGATTGAATTTAAAAATAAAGCACGGGATCGCGGGAAGCGATCCCGCCGGTAATGATTCCCGCCAGAGTGGCGGGAAAACTGAATCTGAATGACCGCCGGCGACTAAGCGCATAGGCAGTCTATTCAGATTGAATTTTAAAATGAGGCGCGGGATCGCAGGAAGCGATCCCGCCGGTAATGATTCCCACAAGAGTGGCAGGAAAACTGAATCTGAATGACTGCCGGCAACAAAGCGCATAGGCAGTCTATTCAGATTGAATTTAAAAATAAGGCGCGGGATCGCGGGAAGCGATCCCGCCGGTAATGATTCCCGCCAGAATGGCGGGAAAACTGAATCTGAATGACCGCCGGCAACAAAGCGCATAGGCAGTCTATTCAGATTGAATCTAAAGATAAGGGGTGGGATCGTGGGAAGCGATCCCACCGGTAATGATTCCCGCCAGAGTGGCGGGAAAACTGAATCAATGATCGCCAGCGACAAAGAATCTCGGTAGTCTATCAGATCAGAACTTTCATTTAAAACACAAATTTAAATGCACAAGTTTAAATTTAAAGATTAGTCAATCGTTCAACTTGTAGTTGGGTGGGAATTACTTGACTCGAGAAGCGTTACAAGTTCTTGACAAATTTCCCTGCGCTTTTTTGAGGATAAAAATTTTGCTTGAAAAATGCTTAGAGAAGCATAGATAATCTATTCCTACCCGGAATTAGATTCAAGGAGTTAAAGCGCATTCCGTACCCCACGTGGGGTTGGCTTTGTATCCGCTCATTTTGATTTAATCATTGCCAACCCTGCCGCCCGTCCCTTTTTATCCCGCTTGATGGTATCGATTTCTTGGTTAAATGTAAGATATATGGTGTTTTTCCTAAATTTATCAGATTTAAACCATAGTACCGTAAAAGGGGGTTACTTTGACTCCCGGCGTAAGTTTGACCACTTTTAGTTTTTTTTTAACATATGTAACTAGAAGAGTTCTACTACAATGCACCAAAACCTGGAGTTATTTTACTAAGAAGTAAAACTGATTTTACCACCCAGTCAAAGAAACCCCAAAGTGGGGGGGTAACAAAGACCATCATTTTTTTGAAATTACATCAAAACTATGAGAGGCAGGAACCAGCAATTTATGGTGAATGAAGCTAGAGTATAGACCTGTACGTATATTGCATGTTGCAATTTAAGTTTAACTTATCTAGTAAAAAAATGGCATCATTTTGAAAAAAAGTGGTCAAAGTTACCCCATTTTATGGTATCTTATATATTGATAGCCTGTTTTTTTATGGAAGAATTTAGGAAAGTGCCATAAAGATAAAAGTGAAATTTACCATGTTAGAAATCGTCACAAGCAGTCAAGCATGGGCAATTTTAACAATGTGACTGTATGAGACTGTGAGTTTGTCCTATCCAGAGAGAATTTAGACAAAATTGCTAAAATCTCAGAATAAACTTTGTTATAAACTATGAGAGAAGTACCCAGTGATAACTTTTTTCATGTCATTGTTATGAGGCTTGAAGGTTTAATGACAGTAGACCAAGTAAGGGAACATAGTTACATTTATAAAACTTTATTATTTTTGTTTTCCAACTCATATTGACATGTTAATTTTTTTTTAGGCTTGCACTGTATGTATTAGTAACACTGACTCACAAACATAATTTTATAGAAGCTTGGTTTCATATAAATTATTTCTATACCAAAACTATTTTCCCATTAATATGATTTAAAAGGACTCTTTATCTGTGTTAGACCTCCAAAAAAGTCATCTCTCTCATGTATATACGGTACTACATTTGCATTATGCTGAAAATAAATTATTTCTATTGTACAATTTCTAATCATAATGAATTGTAATGCAAAAATTACTATTCAATTACTTTCTGATACAAGATTGTGGATACTGGACATTAGACAGGAGATTGAACTTTTGCTGTGGCCATAGTTGTAGGTGATGAGGTTTCCTTGTTGACAACCTGGATGCTGGCAGCTGGCTGCATGCTACTTGATGTCCAATGTAGGGTTGATTGGTATCAACACTTCAAATTTTCCATTGAAAGATATCATTACTTTCAATTATTTGTATGCCAATGCCTTGCTTTTTTGCAGTGTCCCAAGTTATACAGCAAGGTTGTAAAGCAGAAAGAGAGCATTTATTCTATATGATGTTTTTATGGCGGTTTGGTTGTAAGGCAGGATAAGTGTAACACAAGGTTCCAATGTAGTGCATCTTCAAGATGAAGTCAGTAATATACAGTATATCATGGTCTTAGAGCCTGATGATACTTTGTGAAGAGGCTCAACTGGCTCATTGGTTTGAATTTTTTATTTATAATAGTACATCTTATCTATCAGTAAATGAGCATTCTAAAAAATTTTATGATATAAAATATGCAATTTAATAAGTGATTTATTTGCTAATATTCACTCCTTTTTTTTCAGAAAAATTTGAACTTTATATTCATGTTATACATTGAGCCTGCAATGGAAAAACTGCATGAATATACTAAATCAAAAAATGATGGCATAGTTTCTTGTGGCCTACCCAACTTCACGGAGGAATGTTTTGACCTGGACCATATTTTTGTTCATCATGACAAGGAGAATGATACCATTTTTAATAAACTACAATATTCCCATGATACTACGGGAAAACTTTGTGTTAATGAAAAAATTCCTAAAAGGAGTCTTCAAGAGGAAGATGAGAGACCAACAAAGAAGACCACAGAAATGAGAGACTCTGGTAATTTGACTAGAAACTCTAAATTATTGCAGCGCTTCTCATCTTTAGCTGAGGACGATTTTGATTGCTTTGGTGATGATTTCAATTTTCTGTGTCCCAAGAGTAGCCATGTTTCTGATAAAAAAGACCCAAGCAAAAGCAAAACATTTCCTCAGGAGCAAAATTCATTGATTGATGGTAATTCTGCTATTCTTGAATTGTTCAATACCTCAAAAATCCCATTTTCAAGACCTTCATCATCTGAGCCATCCACATCGGTGCTGAATAACAAAAATTGTAATTTTAAAAGCTCTGCAACTAATGCTTGTGAAAAGCAGTCAAGTTTGTTTCAAAATCCAAAATGTATAATTGATCAGAGGGACTCGGAAACAATTTCTAATATGTGCAATGCCAAGGCCTTTTTGTCTGTGATCGGAAACAAATCAATGAATGAGGAAAATTGTAATAGAATTACATTAGGTTCTGGAAATCTTTCTCTACACAATCACAAAAAGCCAACATCCCTACAGGAAGCCCAGCCTGATCTTGAACATCCACACAATGCTCATGGTCCTCAAGCTTCAATATTTGCAGCTAAGAAAAATGAACCACAACCTGGCAGCATAATCATCTCCCCTAGTGTTGGTGAAACATTACCAAGCATTCCTCAGTCTTCCAGGCTAAGCAATGAAGCATCTCCTGCTCATAAGTTGTCTAAAAATTCCCCTATATTGACTGCTGAAGTGCATGAAAATTTTCATCAACCGTTAAGAGAAATCAAACCCAAGTTTCCTGGTCCAGCAGGCCTTCTTCCTAATTTGGTTTGTAAAATTGAGTAGATTGGTTCTTTCATTTTGCCTTTGATAAATTTTCATTAGAAGTTTGGGTTGAGAAGCTTTATCATAAAGACTATTCCTGATGACTTGTTTAATAATTGACTATAGAAAATAAAAAAATATAATGCTATGAGTCCATCATAAATTAGACATACCATATATTCTAATTTGTTCAGATTTTTATTATATTGGAAAGAAATTTTATCACTTAATTACTTAAATTTTAAATATTTACATGTCCTAAGGATATAATTATTTTATACTGAAACAGCGCCACTTTGTTGATCCTTGCTATACCTAGTATGTACCCCTAACTTGTCATTCTTCTCAGTAAACTAATAATTTGTTTCAGGAAGACCTTGGTGACACCAGCTCCATTGAAGCAACTCGGGCAATGCTTGCTTTTCAGGATAAACCAATGAAAAAGGTATTAGTTTTTCAATATTAAATTATCATTAAAAATAAACTACTATACCTATGCAATCTGTTTGTAATCTTTTATGTTAATACATACCTATATAAATACCTATTAAGCATTTACCTTATTTGGATATACATGCATGCATTTGGATATAGGTATGGTACCGTACTTATCCCAAGGCTTCATTAGTGAGGTCTTCACTTATTCATGTTCATCATCTTCCTTATTGATACAAGTTAGTTTTCTTAGATTTTAATTTGTTCAGCATCAATCAAATCATAAATTTTCTCAAATAGTGCAATTGTTCATGTTCAAGATAAGTCTACTTCCCATTCTTTTCAATTAACCTAGCTTATCATATGTTTATTTGTTTATATAAACAGCTTGTTCCTCTTCATAAAGAAAACTTTTTAATGCAGAGTAAAGCCTCAGTCCACTGGCCAAATTTTTCAAAAAATTTGCCACCAGTTTTCCAAAAACTTTATTGTAAAGGATTAATGATACAAAATATATGCCAATGTATTTGCCAAGCATAGAAGCAGCCACTCAATTTGGCAAGAGTAGGTATAAGTATATGTGAAGTCTAGCATCTGTCAGAAGGGCTAAGGTGGTGACTTGTTTTTAAGTCTATTGTGCATGTCACCGCTTTGCATATTCTTCCTTGTACCAAAGTTTCCCAGTAGCCAGTGTATTTTTAGTGCATTTTCTCATTTATGGAAAAAAAACGCTATTGTGCTTGTCATGTCCATCCGTCTGTAAGTTCATGACCTCATTTTTATCGATGAGAAAATGAGCTCTCTGTCACTCACTGCATTGAGTAGGCACTGAGTTATATTTTTTACACATTTCTCATCTAAACATTTGGTTTGCAGGGCTCCTCTTCAGATCCCTTGCCATCGATGCCACTGGGACCGCTGTGGGGCTACATGCTACAAGACCTTGACATCTCCGCCAACAGCCCTGACTCGCTGCTGCACAGGTTGCTTTGATGGCTGCAAAAATGTTCTAATATTTCCTCTAATGATCTTTTATGTATTTTTCTCCTCTAACATGTAACTGTTCACTCATCATTAATTTTTCCCTTCATTGATATTCACAGTTTAGAACAATTATAATACATGTTTATAAATAGTGAGTTGGGCTGTCTGTTTTGAAGGCAGACGAGGGATGATGGCTTGATGTTTAAATTTGGAAAAACCATGTCACAGTTGTGTGTTGCTTGAGGATCTCATCTAGTAATTGTAGTAACATTCATTTGTTTGGTTATAGTATACCGGTATTATTTAATATAGACTAGACACAACAGAAATGAAGCTGGAGGAAGTAGTTTACTATCGATATGAGCACAAGAGATTTTTTTTTTCAAAATTCATAGCGGAGAAAATAATTTAGGGTCTGATTTATTCCTTTAGTTTCCCAGTTCTACCATTCCTCAGATGTTTAGGATAAATAATTTATTAATAAACCCAATAATGTACTTTCAATGTGTGTGCTACCGTACAATGGATGAATTGAAGTCAAATGATGAATTTATAATTTATGGCTTTATAGTGTATGTACATGCCTAATTAATATAGTTTTATATTCACTGTATTTAATCCTTTATTTTAATCTTATTCCATCTAATTTTCTAAGTTAAAGATCATTTATTTGTAGTAAAAGAATTTGCATTCATTTTAATCTGAGGTGAAATAAGCATGTTTTGGAAAGCTCCCATGGTGATATTGTCTTTTATCTACTCACTACTCAAAATCCCGATTAATCATTGGATACAGAATCAATAAACTAATTCTTAAATACAATCATAAAGAATAAAACGATTTGTTGCAAAGGTTGGAACCTTTCATTAGTTCCGTGTGATAGAACTAATTGATCACTCAAAGAATAATCAACCCAAATCATCTCTAAGCCGCCCTTACTGCAGTTGAGTGAAGTGTGAAGCAGCATTATATAAGGGCAATTTATTTTTATTTCTTGTTGCAGGCACAACATCGAGCGCAGCGTGCTGTACCCGCACAGAGGCAGCGCTGGGTCTTGTGGTGGCCTGCGTCGCGTTCCTTTACTCGCTGTACAAGTGAACTCTGTGCAGCCTGCGCACAGCCAGGCCACACTACAGCTCTGTGACCATACTGGTGGGTGGTGTATAATTGATCATTTCCCAGTCTGCTGCAGCTCTGTGACCATAATGGTGGGTGGTGTATAATTGATCATTTCCCAGTCTGCTGCAGCTCTGTGAGCACACTGGTGGGTGGTGTATAATTGATCATTTCCACGTCTGCTGCAGCACTGTGACCATACTGGTGGGTGGTGTATAATTGATCATTTCCACGTCTGCTGCAGCACTGTGACCACACTGGTGGGTGGTGTAAAATTCGCAATTAGTTTAGGAAAATATATTTCTAATAATTTTTAGAAAATTTGCTGTGCGCTTATCGTTCGTTAAGAAATGAAGCTGTAAATTATTCTATCTGTTTTCACTGTGGAATATAAAATTGGACAATCTGCTGACTGTAGCTGGCACCTGACTAACTGAGGGCAATGGAGTGCCGTGCTCTTGCCCTGGTGATGACGCATCTTTGAGACGAGACTTCTGACACGCTCTGTTGCAGGCGAGGTGAGCGGGCTGCTCTCGAGCAGCGGCGTGTCGTCGTACCTGCCACACCTAAGCGCCGGCTGCGCCCTCCTCCTGTCGGGGGTGACGGCGTGGCAGCGCTCGTACGCCAGACCGCCCATCCTGGCCATCACGGCGGACAACATCGCGGCGCTGTACTCGCCAGTGCGCGCCCTGCCGCCGGCCGCTGGCCGCGTTGATGCCCCTCCGAGTAGCGCGCGGGGCAGCGGCTGCGATGTTAAAGTCACGTCAGGGCTGAGCGCCGAGGAGCGCCGGCAGCTCAAGGACAAGGTTGGAGTGGACAAGATGCTGGAGCGAAGTCTTGTCGAGGAAGATAGGATCAGTCCTGTCAAGACCGCATACCTCAGTAAGAGTATGAATAATTGTGATTATGGACCAGCGCAGACGAATCGCAGTTCTAATTTGCCGTTTTCTTCGGCGTCCCGTGATTTTAGACCACCGGCTCCGTATATCGGCAGGCCACGACCAGGAAATGAATCATCTATCAGGCCTTCAAATCAAAGATTATTTAACCTTCCGAACAGTTTAATTTCACCTAGTTTAAGAAGCCCAAAACCGTCAACAAATGGTCAAGCTACAGCTTCGAGAGGGTCTGGAAACTCTCTTCAATCAGCACAGTTGACAAGACCTCTCAGACCTTTGGGCTCAACACCGATGAATTCGTCTCATAATTTCGGCCCAAGTTTCCGCTTCTCCCCAATCGCCCCAGGAGCTTCAAGAAGACCTCCAATAGCTAATCCCGCCACCGCGCTCCCTGCTCCATCTTTACCCTCATGTTCAACCCCTTCCAGAACTCAATATCGGTTGTCTGTGCCTAAACCCAAACAAATCTGCTTTAAATCAGTGGACACAAGTCAAGAGGCTTCTCAATTTAAATCTGGTGCACTAATAAATGAAAATTTAACTTCGAATCCATGTAATTCCAAGGAGGCATCGGGTGTAAATCAGGGCACATGCCATACAAGTTTAGCCAGCACCAATGACCACAATTTAAACCTTACGAGCACCTCACACGCGTCCCCTACTGAGAAGGAGCTGAGAGAAATAAAAGAGCTGATGGCCGCGTACGCTGAGGAAGATTTTGATGATTTCTGAGACGAATGTTGCCTAGATATGACATTACTATATCTCATGGCTCTAGTCTACATCATGAGTGTTGCCTATATATGACATTACTATACATCATGAGTGTTGCCTATGTATGACATTACTATCTCATGGCTCCATATCGTTAGTGTGGCCTAGATATGACATTACTATCTCATGGCTCTAGTCTACATCATGAGTGTTGCCTAGATATGACATTACTATCTCATGGCTCTTGTCTACATCATGAGTGTTGACTATGTATGACATTACTATCTCATGGCTCCATATCGTTAGTGTTGCCTAGATATGACATTACTATCTCATGGCTCTAGTCTACATCATGAGAGTTGCCTATATATGACATTACTATTTCATGGCTCTGTATCATGAGTGTTGCCTACGCAGCCTATGTATGATATTACTATCTCATGGCTCTATAATCTATATCATGAGTGTTGCCTATGTATGACATTACTATCTCATGGCTCTATAATCTATATCATGAGTGTTGCCTATGTATGACATAGGCAACACTCGTGTATTATGGCTCTATATCCTCACCAGCTCAATGTATTCGTATGGGAAGGCCTCGTGAGAGAATATTCACCTCACGAGACTATTATGCAGCTTAATAGTGCGTTTCCTCATTGTTTGTGATTTCCACGCCTCGTATCAGTATTTCTGAGCCAATATCGGGCCAAAGCTTGTAATCCAATCATCATCATCATTCATGGGCTCGTAACTCGTTCTCGATTTTTCGAATTCATTAGAAAATTATTCTGTCGTTGTAGTGAAGGCGCTGTTTTGTTTACAGAAAGTGTTTACTTGTTTCTGGTGCTCTAGTGTTATTGACTGTAGTTTAGTTATATTATTTTGAGACCATGTCTAACTTCCAGCCACCAAAGACTTCAATTTTAGGTTCACTCTAAACTGACGCTACGATGAACTATGAGCCAAAAAAATAAATTGCATTTCAAAAAATTTCCAGCTTCTTGCTCCTTATCCTCGATGTGTTTTCTCTTCGCCAAGACTTCACTGGCGTTTGCATGCCTATTCTTACCATCTTATATTCTATATTCTTATTTCTCATATTTCTATATTTATATAGAAAATAATCCTTCTTCTTTGTCTTTATTCTCGATGTCGTCCTACTCTTAGCATATGTGACGCGACAACGCGAGGCCGGTCAGAATTGTTCACTTGAGACTGTTCACGCTGCAATGTTAGTATCTTTGTTGTTTGTTCCTGTGTTATTTGAAGCGTCAAGACGGCAGTAGCTATCAGCAATTATAGTCAGTGATATTAAAATTTGTATTGCCTTGTGTTTTGCTGATATCCTGAAAGCAGGTCATTTGAGTTTCACGTGAAGGAACTCGAGTTTTTATGTTTTTAATATTTCGTATAAATACATGTGTAGTAGAATATTCAATAATATTTTTCGATGAGTTAAACATTTTAGACTTGCTAGTGACAATTCAAGTTTAATTTGGCTATAAATAATTCTTTGTTTATATAATTTTGCGTGAATTGAAATTCAGTCCAATTCATATTCGGTGAGTACCGTATACTGTAGAATTTTCAGCATCCAGGAATAACACGCGATATTCGTACTGAATTGCCGAGAATATTTTGAGGGACTGCGTAACGGCGCAATTAGATCAGTCGGCTGCTGTTCTATAGAATCGGCGATAGGCCACATCAGGCCTACTCTTCAGCGCCGACATCGTCATGTTATGTTATGACATCCCCCACTGATTTCAATTACGCGATTTAGGGTAGTCGGTTCTTAGATGGATTTTTTTGCGGATTCAAATATTTTTCCACCGATGCACCTCAAGAAAGGTCAATCTAGTACCGCATCTCATAATTAGAAATTTGATAATTTATTTGTTTTTCAAAACAATAACGCCATGAAGCCAGCAATGGAGCTTCTCCTTCAGCAACGCGGGCAACCTCACGCGCTCTGATGACGGTGAAAAATATTCCGCTGAAGCGCACGCCAATCCTCGCCAATAATCTAATGCATTCATCTAACGAGCGCATGAAGAGGGTCTTTAAACGCGTCTGTTTTTTTTTCTCAGTGTTACTGCATTCATCTATCCGTTCAAAATAAACGAATGAAAGTTTAATGACGGTCTGCGATCTGAAGATATTGTTGCGCCTGCATCAACTCTGGGTGCCTCTGAGGCTACGCACAAATGTTGCAGTAAGAATTTGACCTTCCACCGCCGTATGTTACTATCCGGGAACATAACTTTCAACTTAAATTATGCGTAATCTATTGAGTGTAGCAACCTGAGGACGTTTGTACGCAACAGACAACATTTTAAAGTTGTACGTGGCGGCAACCATCAGTGCAAGTCATTTTGCGCTCACAAGAACGTATCCTTTTTGGGAAGTAGGCGCGTGACAATATTGCTCCGGTTACTCGTGTCAGGCGGTAGAGGGTTAAGTAGCGTCAAAAATGTTTATTCTGACAAATTAGGGATATATGATTTTTTATAATGTACGTCAAACACTAAAATTTTTATCTTGGTGTTCAATAACTAGTACATTTTTTGTTTATAATTCGTCCCGTGCCCTAATGAAATATTGACCGCAACTGTGGAGTGATGGAAGTATTAAAGAAAGTATGAAATACTTTTATGAAAGTATTAAAGCGACACAAAACAGCTTAATGCTCGCTCTCAGGTGATACGAGCATTAAATTCATGGTAAAGAACTTTTATGAATACAAAATATTTTTCTCTGCGTTACTGAATTTAACTTCAATAATGACGATTAGTTGGATTAAGAACGATGTTAGACTCTGTTCCACTCAGTGGACCCTTGCTGCAGCTGTCCCAGGCTATCGTAATACGAGAACAATAAAGGAACTTGTTCATAAACGATAGGCAATTTTCAGGCTCCTAATAAATGGCCAGTGGTGGGTTGGCCATAGCGATTCGTTCGAGCTACTTGGTCAACAATTCTCACGAGATGGATGCTTGCGACACGTGCTGCTCTCCTCGTCTGCATGTCACGTGCAAAATTTAGAAATAAATTGCACGCCTCACAATTTAGGATTAACTCAACATTAAGGCAGAGCCTCGAGTTACAAAGTTATTAGTTGATGTTGATTACACGCGAGCACATCGACGATGCAACGCACCGATGCACGCACTAACGCACATTTGCACGTAATGATACCTCGATGTGCGCACTGTTGATGCACATGCTGCTGCCTCGATGTGCGCACTGTCGATGCACGTACTGATGCACCGATGTGCGCACTGTTGATGCACATGCTGCTGCCTCGATGTGCGCACTGTCGATGCACGTACTGATGCACCGATGTGCGCACTGTTGATGCACATGCTGCTGCCTCGATGTGCGCACTGTCGATGCACGTACTGATGCACCGATGTGCGCACTGTTGATGCACATGCTGCTGCCTCGATGTGCGCACTGTCGATGCACGTACTGATGCACCGATGTGCGCANCGCACTGATGCACTGATGTACGCACTGATGCACTGATGTGCGCACTGATGCACCGATGTGCGCACTGATGCACTGATATACGCACTGTCGATGTACATACTGATGCACTGATGTACGCTCTGATGCATCGATGTCAAACAAACCTGAATAAATTTGTTCAGCGACAATGATTACCGGATTGCGATTGCATGACCCAACAAAACGAATATACCTGCATATTTAATTGATAAATACGTTTACCATTCAAATCAACTGCGTTCAAGCCTTTTATTTTGCGTTCTTTCATTGTATAAAATTGTAAAAAATGTTTGAACTTGCTTTGAAATGTCCTTAGTATGCACACTGCACAGTAGGCACGATGGACCTTTATTCCATTAATGAGCCAGCGGCGTCGCGTGCGCAGCGCCAGCGATCCATTAAGTTGGTGGCCGCTGCGGTGACGCGACAATTGCATGGCACGCCTATACTTCTGAAGCGCGTCTTAGGTGCCTCCGACACTCGGGCCCAGCTAGGCTATAATTGAAGTTTTTTGTTCAATGAAGCGCTACCGCATTGCGCGGCATCAACGACAATTAACATTAGCATTATTATCATGCGCAACTGGATGCAATGGCTCCTAAAACAGCCCTAGAACAGGAGCCTAAACTGCATGCTATGGCTTTTACAGCAGTTGGTTCAAAATTTGTAACTCAATTCAGCTTAAACTACGAGTGGTTGATCAGTACATAAGGCTGACGGTTGCGAGTATCATGTTTTAGTTTCGAACGTCCTGACTAAGACGTAAGTGCTTTACAGGAACACATGTTCTTGTGAAGGACACACAAACTTGAACTCTAGTTAGAGTTATAATTCGTTGCGGCTTGATTGATTATTATTTTATTATTGATTATTGTCGGGAATCTCAAATCCGTGCATCAATGCACAAACATTTTCGTACTGGCTTACACGGGCAGCTTGAATTTTAAAGAAGCGTAAAATTTACAAGCACTCTTATAATTTGTTTGAAGATCTTTAATGAATTGCCAAAGAAAAGCAGTGTCAGCGTTGCAGATTAGGCCATTTAAACGAAATGGCCTAATCTGCAACGCCAATGCAACGTCAATAATTCTGAACATCGCAGAATTTTCACAGCTTAATTGTTTTGGGTTTCAAACATGCTACTCAGTGCGCTCAACCGCCCGGCCACATTAACCTTAACGCGTTTGAGGAGCGCCTACTAGGAGGTCTGGCTTCCATGCTTACGTTGCATGCCACATCTTATGAAAATTATGCGATTTCTTGCATTTTATGCAGAGTGCTTGGTAGTGGCATATAATGAGGCGTAATATGTGCTGCTCTGCGCATTTACTTGCCTCATTTGCCTATACTCTCGCATGCTAGCTCAGCCACAGACTACAGTTGCGCTCCAAAAACATGCAAATGAGAAAATTAAGAGTTCAATATATATTTATACCCGCAATTCTAGCATTCTTTGCCTATAATTTTGGACAATTTTCGTGTTCAAGCAATGGAAAAAACAAAGCAATCAATATAACAAAACGATCAAAATAAATCAAATAGGAGCAAGCGGAGTACATTCTTATTGAACCTCAACAGAACTTTTCACTCTGAAGGTTTGATCGAGAGACGGTCGAGGTACAGGACCGTCTAGACGTCCGGTAGCTGCGCGGCACTCTTACAAAAATTCATCTCGCCGTAAAAACAAGAGCAAAATCCGCATTTAATCTCCAATGACATGCAAAATAATGCGTATGAATTTGAATTATTAGGCTACAAATTAGCATAACTATTTTCGGAGAAAAATGTAACGTATATCTGCATTAATGTCGTTACTAAAATTTCATTCCTGCGTTTACGGTGCAATTTTCACGATGTTGTGCATGCATGCATTACTGGTGCAATGCATATTAAAAATTATAATGCTTGGTTACCATCCATTATTCTATACGGGAAATTTAAAATTCATAAATCTAGCTACGGAAGAGCTTGTTTTCAGTAACAGTCATATAGTTTAATGTTCAACTCAATATTTAATATTTAATTTTTCTACTTGGTCTGGATATAGCAGCGATTTGAAATAATTGAATGACTCGTTATTTTTGCCTGCGGCATCGAAGGTAACTTCTTGAAAATTTGACATGAAAAATAAGACTTCAAATAAAAAAAATCGTGATTTTGCCAGTAAACTGTTAACCTTTTATCGTATTTTTGCTTTTCCATAGATCATTATTACTCACCATTTTGTTTAACCTACGAATTAGATGAATAATACGAATTCCATGAAAAGAAATATCAATAGTTTGCACTAAAAAATTTCAACAAAGGCTTACCATTCATTCAATGTGCCTATTGAATAAATGGATGGACATGAATAGCTCACTTAAATGTCATATTGAATTAATAGATAGATATGAATAGACCATTTATATGTCATATTGAATGATAAGATAAACATGAATAGATCACTTAAAAGTCCATTTTAATAATTAGATAGACACTTATACGTCCTACACTGATTCGCTCCTCCGAGACCGTGCCCTCCACCGGTTCACCCCTCCGAGACCGTGCCCTCCACCGGTTCACCCCTCCGAGACCGTGCCCTCCACCGGTTCACCCCTCCGAGACCGTGCCCTCCACCGTTTCACTCCTCCGATACCGTACCCTCCACCGGTTCACCCCTCCGAGACCGTGCCCTCCACCGGTTCACCCCTCCGAGACCGTGCCCTCCACCGGTTCACCCCTCCGAGACCGTGTTCCACTTAACCTTCTAACCGTCTTTCTTCTAGCCATGCATTTTCAGTAGTCAATACGGAAAGTAGAAGTCTCTTACCTTAACATT